TTCATCGTCTGTGCTGAAGGGTTCAAACTCGCCGTCAATGGATAAAAAACATATAGTAATCCTCCCTTAATATAGGCAACCTCGGAATATTGGTGACTATATAACTAGTCTGAGAATATATACAAGCCGTGATACTTGAAGTAGTTTGACCCAACTTCTCGTAGAAACTACTAATGCCAGTGTTGCCTATTATTTGATGGTAATGACAAGACCGGCTGTCTTTCCACGGACGGAGAATCTAGATAAGAACGTTTCAGACTACGCTAAAAGAGGTCGCTCAAACCCACCGGCATTGCACTGAGCTATATTTTAGGCTACCCTTAAAACTTCGGAATGTTTTGCAGTATTTTCCCGACGGAGCTTTCCGGGGTATGGAAAGCATGTGCACGGAAGCAGCCACATTGTGGGTACGAAATAGTTAATGACATTGTCAAATGTGCAATCAGATGATTGAGGACTTGAAAAATGAAATTCGCTACAGACTTTATATAATGAAGTTTTCGAGAGAGGTGGAAGGTAAATTAGGGTGAGACGGAAGATCAATTCGTGAGAAATGGAATGAAAGGTATCGAAGGAAAGCTCATCTTCTTTGCGTGAACGTAGTCATGTTTGGATTGTAGTACAGCTGTTGGCCCAACGTGCGGTGGGCATTATTAGCAGTGAAAAATGTAGAAAATGTAGGGCGGACATAAGAACAACCCCTCTGCTTCTACACGGTCTTATTTCGAACTTGTTTTAGACTCAACAGACAGACTTCAACAGTCATTTCAAAACTAGATATGAAAGCTCGATTAAACTTCACAAAAATCATTTATGTCCAACGTGATGACTACTTTCTCGGAAATTAATTTTAACAGCCATCGGAAACTAGAGAGGCCCAACTGGCCTCTCGTAACGTATATCAACAAGGCAATGTAACCAAGTCTAATATAAAGAGATGATGTTGGAGTGGCTCTAATGAAGCTCTCTCTTTCTCTCTCACTCTCTTTTCATTTTCAGTTGAGACCCACTCGGGTTGATCACAGCGCATGTCGCACAAGAGTTTCTCATGTTATCAGGTTGCTTGGACCGACCGCTAAATTACGAATTGAGCATAGATATCTACTCTCCATTCATTAAAAAAAATTTGTTCAAAGAAGATTACCGTTAAACAGAAATAGTCGGGCTTTCTAAGACAGTTTCTTCGTCAGATTAGGAAAAATTACTTAAGTTTTCCTTGATTTCTTCTAACAGGACAGACTCAGTCCCACAAAATTATTAATAAGAGTAAATATATGGCTTATTATTTTGTTTCATATAAATATATTATTTGTTAGCATATATTTTTTTTAACCCTATTCTGTTCGAACTTAGTCTCTCCTCTACGATCTTACCCGTTTTCCTTTGGAAAAATGCCAACAGATGAGCAATAAAAAATATCATTTTGCCGAAAATATTAATTTTTATTAACACCCGTCAAAAATTTTCAATTTTCAAAAATTTTCCATTATCGCAAACGAAATGTTTATGCATGAATTTGTTTATTTTACAAACATACATACATACATATATGTAAATGTAATATTTAATGTTTAATGGTAAGGATGCAAAGATGAAGGCAACTACATGTGTAAGGGAATATATGAAAAGCAATAAAAATTTTTAATTATTTTCATTTCATGTCTTTTAATTAACATGCCTAATAAAACACAAATAAACCCAGAAAAAACATTGAAAACACACACATATTTATATATTTTATATTTACCAGCGTGAGGATATGCACAGCGAAATACACAAAGCTACAAATGAGCCGCATGTAAGACATTACGGCAGAGCTGAATGGGGCTCTACACCCATATATACATGTGCAATACATACATGCTTGTACAATACATATGCATACATTGAATGTAAGTGTACGTGTAGATGTAGAAAGGGTTACGGTGATATGGCTGATTACGGCTGCGGACTCACATCGATACACTCTTGCTGTGGAAAATTTTTGTATACCTATGTACTGCTTAATTTATATTTACATACATACATACAAATATACATTAATATTTTACGCGGCCTCCTCTGTAAATATCACCCTTTTTATTACTATCTTGTTCGTAATTTTATCACCAAAGCAGAAAAACCAGTACGAATCTTTCATTAGATATTTAATGTGTCGAATTATTAAATATATTCATACATATATATGTATATATTTCTATATGTGTGTACATTTCTTATAATTATTTGTATGCATGTATTTAATTAAAAAAAGTTTATAAATATCAAACACACCTGCACTATATCATTTCTTTATTACTATAAATCAGTAAGTCATCGTCATCTCTTTGAAACGTACAGTTGCGAAGAAAAGTATTCGAACCAACATACCTTATGGCATAATATATAAAAAATTCAACATTTATTAAAATAACAGATTTTGCTAAAAAATTCAAAAATGCAGAAATCACCTTATCATAATAAAAAGAAGGTATAAAATAAAACAAAACGAAATAAAATACTACAAAATAATATTAATATATAAAAACTAAATAAATTGAAATAAACTAAAATAATAATATTTAATATATTATTAATTTTTATAAAAAAAACTTATAAAATTAAAAAAAAAAATTAACTAATATAAATAAAATAAAATAAAATAAAATAAAATAAAATAAAATAAAATAAAATAAAATAAAATAAAATAAAATAAAATAAAATAAAATAAAATAAAAGAAAATGAAGTAAAATTTAATTCAATTAAATAGCATAAAAACGAACAAATATGGAAAAAATTAAAATAATTCAAATAAAAAAATAAATTAAAATCAGATAAAGTAATGTAATATAGTGATTTAAAAAATGCTTAAAAACTTTTCAAATTAATTTAATTAATTCACCAAAGAAGTGCTTTTTCCATTCACCTGTTTACATATATCCTTATGTATGTATGTATGTTGATAAGTTCACAAATATTAGCATTGAAGGCAAATAATCAGTTACTTATCTTTATTAAGCCAAGCATACCTGAAATGCGGTGCCATATGTAGAAGTACGTTGGCATACCTACACACTTGCATATTCGTATAATCCACATAACCGCATTGCCATGCGTTTGTTTGTTGATATACGAAAAAAGTTTGTTTACATGCGCAACTTTGCAGAAAGACTGTATGACAATTCCAAAAACTTCAAAATTAATAATCTTCCAATTCGCGAGCACACAAACGCACAGATTTACATACAAAGAGATATGTCGTTGCTACATATCCATATGCTTTTACTCGCATGTCTCTACACGTTTTTGCTGGAAAGCAAATGTCAATAAAAAGTTTTTTTGTTGTTGTATAATAAAATTAAAAAAAAAAACTTAACATCACAAAATGAGCGACATTATTCATATTTCCAGGTGTAAGTGTCTGCTCGCCAGGATAATGGAATACGTGTAAGTACATATATATATATATATATGTAGCATAAAAAGTATTTTGATGAATGTGGTGACGGCATTCAAACGATGTGATGGAAAATCATTTGTCTGGAAATTTTTGAGATATTTCAATTTTCATTTATAATTTTGAAAATTAATACGACAGTACATTTTCTGAAACTGGGCAGGACTTCACCGAGCAAATCAATACTGATAGGTTTCAGTTGGGTGATACTCAATCGTGCTGGCGAAAATATTAGGAGCAGCAGCACTAATAAGATAAGGTAAAAGAATCCTTAAGAGTATAAAACAGCTTGCCTTTGACGATGACGACGGCTGTAAAAACCGCGCCATTTGTTCTGCTTTAACTTGACTGTTTAAAGTAACTAGTCGAGGGGGTTTGCAGTGAAAGATAAAGAAACCTAATTCCCTTCCCAACAAAGAAACTTTATATGCATCAAAATTTTGGGTCCCAAGCCACCATTAACACACATTACTTCGAAGATAATTTCGTCTCTCTAGAAACCAGTCTTGCTCATTGATATAGCTCAGCGAATCAAGAAGCAGCGGCTATACCGTCATGTCCTGGACGATATGGATGAATGCGAATACACCAGCTTTGAAGGTTTTCGATGCAGTAACCGCCGTTGGAAGTAGAGGAGACCTACACTCTATTAGAAAGACCAGATAGAGGAAGACCTGGCGGTACTGGCGGCATTTCCGAATTCCAAATAGCAAAAAGAAGAAACGAATGGCGCAATGTAGTATAATCGCGTAAGCGGTGACGGCAGTTAAGAGAATTTGAATGAAAATTCGCTCAAAGTTATAGTACAAATAAAGTAATTTATTAAGTTAAAAACATGAAAAATTATTTAAAATTATTTTAAATAGCCTACACATATCATGAGTACAAATTTCTGTTTCCAAAGCAAAAAACCCGGGTGGGCAACCGACTTCCGCTTAATCTTTTCCGCGCTCTAATTGCGCGAAAGAGCCAAAAAAAAAAGTCGTGTGAAAGTAGTTTTCCAGGCAACTTTTAGAATCAACAATTGCGCGAACATGTGCACAACCAACAACAGATTATAGATTTGGATCAAATATTTAATTTTCGATTTAAATCATGTGTAACTTTTTGCGCGACTCCTATGAAAGTGTGATTATCGTTTCCACAAAATCTAATTTCAGCTTTCAATACCTTCATGGATGGCTGCTTTAACAGTGTTTATTAATTGTTGAAAAAAAAAATAATAATTTCAAATATGAACGATTATACGTATATGTCTGTACGTGTGTAAAATAGGGTGACTCGAAAAAAATTAGGACACTATTTCCCATCATTATTTTTTTTTACGGTGAATAAAAAATGAAAAGCGTAATTTTTTTTTGCAAGCTCGTTGACTTATTTTATTGTTTTACTAAAAATTAATTGCCAATGCTACATTCTAAATTGATTTTTTTTTCATAACCACAACAACTGTAGAAAAACGTTTTACTAAATAAATTTCAAGCCCAACCTAATCCACAATAATTACTAATTTTTATATAAAAGCCAACCAACGCGCTCGAATATCATCAGTTTGTCATTGAAAATTGTAGTAAAATGAAATTAAATTTTCTGATTGTTCTTATCGTAGCTGCGCTGTTGGGCATTGCAATGGTGAGTTTCATTTTTATTCACCTACTTAATGTTATATTTTTAATAAAATTTTTATAATTTTTTCAACTTTTTAGGCTGCGACCAGCCAAAGCTCAGGCGGACGACCTAGTGGACCACCGCCCAGCGGTAAGCCACCAAATGGGCCACCACCAAGCGGTAAGCCACCAAATGGTCCACCACCAGGAGGTATGCATTTTATGCTCATTTTTTTAATTTTAGCTAAAATCAGTGGTAGCTTATGGCTTTAGAAAGTTTATAATTTTTTGTCAGGGAGAAGACATACTCTTTGTTAGTTAGCTGGAGTTATACTGTTAATATTTGCTATTCATCATTCAGTTGCTTCGAGTAGTGAAAGCTCCTTAAGCTTTTGGTTAAAAAAATATGTAAAAGCTCAAACAAATTTGAAAGCTTCAAAGCTTGTTTTCGGCATTATTTTCCAAAAGCTCTAAAAAACTTTTTAGCCGTTTAAAGAATTTATCAGACAAATTTTGCAAAAATAATTTAAAAAAATATTGGATGATAAGTTCCTAATGAGTAAAGTACTGTATATTCAGTGAGACACCCGGATTATTTTATGAAAGCTTGGAATGCTTAGTATCATTATCTATAGAATTCTATATATATATTATCTATATATAATCCGCCGTTTGATGCTTGAAAGTTTAAAAAAAGAAGTTTAAGAAAAAGTTTCAAACCTTGGAAAATCTTAAAAATGCAAACAACAATTACTTGACAGTTTTATATGTTTATGTATATAAAACTGTAGTGGTAATCTATGTTAACGGTGCTCTCAAAAAGCCCTAAAACTCATGCTTAGCTTACTAGGAGCACTCAGGAAAAATATATGTATAAATACAGCAAGTTTTTTAGCTCAACTTTTTCTTTAACCAAATCGGTTCAAAAGATTTACTAAAGCTCCAAGTAAATTTCAAAACTATTTTGTTACCTTAGCACAAAGCTTTATGATGTTTCTAAGCAAGATAATTATAGAATTTAAATGATTCAAAATGGGATTAATATTCTTAAAAAATGTGTTTAATACACTTGATATTATGATATTGATCAAAAAGCTTACATAAAAGCTCCCCAATGTGCACTGAAATTTTTAAAACTTTAGGGAGTTGAACAACACCCCAAAGTTTTCAATTCGATGAACTCAATTAAGCTTTTTGGGAGCTTTCAGAAAAGTTCAATATTTATTACTAGAATGAAGAAAGTAAAAATTCATTCCAAATATTGCAAATGCATGATTTATTATCTGTTTTATAAGAGCTGCTAAAAATTTCAAATAAGTTGTTGAAGCGATAATGCTTTTTTTTAAATTAGAAGAGATGACAACTTAGTATTCTTATTTTATGTTAGTTGAGTCGATGTCCAATATAAGGTATTAATGTGCTATTTTAATTTATTTTTTTCAATTTACCCAAATAATGATTTAAGCGCAGATTAAAAGAAGCATTTAAAGGCTATTGATGCTCTAGTAAAGCTTTTTAAAAGCCTTTATGAAGCTTTGTAACTTTATTTTACATATAAGTTGTGTAGACTACACTAGAAAGAACATAAATCCCAGACTTTAAATAGTTGTTAAATGATCTCTCAAAGCTTCAGAAAAGCTCACAAAGAAAGCAAAAAATGATATAAGCTCTCTAAAAGCTTTTTGGTAGCTGCTGGAAAGCTCTTGTTAAATTTACTAATTTTTATTTCAAATTAAAGTTGAGTAATTTTGAGTATTGGATGATTAAAAATTACACAAAATTTCCTAAAGTTCTCTGAAAGCTTTCGAAAACTTATATAATGAATACAATTAAATTGTAAATTAAAGATAAAACTTTTTCGGCACAGTTTTTAGAAAAGCTTTTCAAAAGCTCTCTAAAATCTCCTCAAAAGCTCGCAGGTATAATATAAAAACTTAATTTTCTTACTTAAAAAACACAGTTTTGCTTATATTTTTGGAAAAAAGTTTAAAGTTTTCTTTTTTCCGCTTGAGTATCTGTAATAATCACAGCTTTTACATTTTTAACATTATACTTCTTCTCTGCAGGTCGTGGTCCACCGCCTTCTAGCAACAGCACCAGCTCTGGCTAAAGGAACTCCCACCTGTGATTATGGACATGGCTTTTGGACAATGACTAAATGGCAAAAAAAAATATATAAAACTAAATTGATATTTTCTTACATACATATATACAAAAAGCACATCTTTTTTACGAAATTTGAAAAATTAAAATGCATGAAAAAAAATTTTATTATTTTATTAATTAATTTTTGTTAGGCGATCAGTTCAAGTAATTTCGAGAATCTTTTAAATTATTAGGCTTAACTGATCTGGTTTGGTTGGTGAAAATTAAGCTAATTTATACCACTTTTTACCCAAAGTTTCGTTAAATATTTTAGCATCTTCAGGGGCTGCTGTTTATTTACATTGAAAAAAAAAAACTTTATTATTATTTATTTATTTTTTTTTTTAATTTCATATTCAAATATTTCTGTACATACATATTTATGAATACACAAACATTTTCCCAATTTTTTTTAATAATTATTTCATTGCGTTTTTATGTGTTCGCCATGTGTTCCTGAACATAGGTGTTCGCCCTCTTTTTTTTTTTTTTTGGTGGGCTGGCAATTCTTGTTGTTATTGGCTTAATAAAACCATAAAGGTAAATTATTGTCTTTTGCTGCATTTTATCTGCCGCAGTAATAAATTTCAACTTAATTATAAACATAATAAAATGCTCGGTTTTGTCGATGCATAAATATGACTGCTTAATTTACATATATATATATATATACCAGTTTATATATATATAAATATACTAGTGCTACGTGAACGTAAATTGTTATTGTAATTATTTGGTCTGCCAAATTCCCCAGCAATTATGCTTGGCAGAGGTCAAGCTACCGTAAAAGGTTACACCAAAATAAAAATAAAAAGAAATGTAAAAAAGAAATAAATAAAATATATATATGTACACACGAAAAGGGAATGGATGAAAAATATTTTTTTTGTTGTTAAACTGAAGTGCACCGCCCCTGGTCGTACTACTCATAAAGGAACCATGTCCAAATATTTCACTTACTATATTGTTGTTGTAAATATATATTTTGTTGTTGTATTGGAATAAGCATTTAGTGTCCCCTCCAGGTCGATGATATATTTCAGGCATCTACTATTTCTTCGTTTTGAGTTTTACTCTCTTCGTAGTCTTGCCAGTTTTGGGCGAAAAACTCTCACTAATCACTTAAACACATATCAAGGAAGCTGAAAGGGAAAGGGCAGGGAGCTATTGTTAATTATCAATCTTGGGCTTAATAATATAATTTTTATAAAATTGGCGCTTGTAACCGCTTTTCGACCGAGCTCCTGTTCCAATTTGTGGTTTTGCGTCTTGATGTTTTTCCAACAAATTGAGGGACCTACAGTTTATACCAAGCCGTCTCCGAACGGCTGATGTTTTTTCTTATGAGGAGCCTTTATTTCAAGTCAAAAATACACTCGAAGGGTTTGACCTTGCTTGCCGAGGCGCGACCGCATTTAGAAAATTTAGCTGAATTTTTTTATTTAAATTAACCACAGTTTTCTGAACGGCGGTACCCAATGCTAACCACTCGGCTACAGCGGCTCTAGTCTGTTCAATCAACTTAAAAGAGTTTTATTTTTTATCTCGTCTGACTTCGTAATGCAATCGTGATGTACTTCACAGCATTTGTGGGTGCTTTCTCTCAGAGAAAGCCAGGGAAATCGTTAGATGGAATATCAGTTGCGAACGGAAGGTTGAGTTAAGAATTGGACTGCCAAATCTTGGAACAGTCGCGGTGGGGGTTTTCTGTAAATATAATTCAAATTGTATCGAGGAAGAGCCCTCTATTCAGGAAACTAATTTAACCACACAGAACTGATTATTAATCGAGGAAAAGAGAACAAAAGACTTTGCTCCATCTAAAACTTATCATCATTGGCATCACAAAAGAACTGAATCACCCAACCGAATTTTGTTGCAGCTGTAGGGTTATAAGCATTGGGAGCAGGTAGAGCAGTACCATCTGTCATGATCCAATCAGTAACAGCTCTTCCTTGGTAACTTTTATTTCGAGCGCCTTGCAGAATATCAGAATTAATAAGTTTTAGCAACCTTGTGGGTTTCCAAAAATATTACTAAACGTTTGAAGCACGGAGGAAGGCGAGAGCGAGGTTTTACAAATATTGGTGTCACAGGAGCCCAGCGGACCTAAAGAGTATTCCTGTTGGTAAAGTAGCTCCGTAAATATGTGAATTTCAGTTTGAAAACAGATCGTCATCCTGCTGATGTGCTCAGTACGAACTCATTCACCAGCACGATGGGTAAACGATGGGTATTTAAAAGTATAAAATGTGCTTTTTGGAGCTACTCTCTCTTTGGCGGTTGGAAACTGATATTTTTAATTGTTTTTTTTTTAATAAAAAGTATTTGATGTATAATGCAATTTGAGGATTTATTGAATTTTTTTTGTTGTATTTTTTCACTTTTGTTGTTCGGCCGTTATCTGAGAACCGGAGAAGTCCTGTGCATTTTCAATCAATCGCCAATGAATTCATTACTTTTTATTTGTTGTCAAAAATCCACTGAGTCTATATTGACCAACTGCTGGTGGTCCACGGCAAGGAGCTTAAGTTTTCAAGCAATATTTATGATTATTTGAGTAAAATTTGTATAAAATTTTATTATAATTTAGAGAATGTGATACCTCCACGTAAATTCTGATTGTCCGAACCGCCATTTGCTGTGGAAGCTGTTGGCATATTGGTGGTTGCCGAAGCGCCTGGAGCCTGTGGCAGCGCATGCTGAGCAATTGAAATGAAGGAAATTAATTTTACGGTAAATGAAAAGGTGGATTTTCGCTATATTTACCACAAAACCATAGCTGAATAGCGTCAGCACGAATAGGAATAAAGTGAATTTCATTATTGCTTTACAAATTTTTATTTCCGATGAGCGCCGTTTAACAGTGTTTGGAACGTATTGTATGGCCTAACACTATTCGGGGTACACTTTTATAGTCTAGAATTTTTGGTACTGATTAAAACAATTGCCGAATTTTATAATATTTATTATTATTATATACAAATGTATATGTGTATATGTTTATATAAATTTTGTTTTATTTTTTTTTTACATTAAACATTCAGTCAGTCATATTTGTTTTGCTCGTCATTTAAATAATTAATATTAATTTTTTTTTTCATTATTTACATAATCATTATTATTAATTTTATGATAATTATTAGTTACGCTATTACCACGTGTTGCCGTTTTAATTCCAATTGGAGTGCGCAATAATCGTTTGTTATTTGTTAGACGCGTCGCTCAGCGTTCGGGCTGGCATTTGGCGCATCATTTGGGATTTCGAATAAAAAAAATCATCTGCTGTGGCTGCTTTGTTGTGGTTATTTGCGTCGCTGATATTATCATCAAATAAATTTAACAAATTAAATTATTAAATGATTTTTAAAGGTTTTTAGAAGTTGACTTGCGCAAAATACAAAATCATGCTGGAAAATTACGCAAAATAGTCGGCAAATTAGTGGGCGGTAACTAGATTTCTAAATTTAAATATCGTTATTAGCGTAAGGAATATTCTGGACTGCTTATGCTTACTTCGCTTTATATATATATTATATAAGGTGTAGTAAAAAGCAGTCCATTATTCTTCCAATAGATGGCTTTATTTATCTGTTTCTTGTGTTGTATAAATCCGAACGAAAACGAAACATGTTTGGTTTGGTCATTGAGTGTGATGGTAGTCAAAATATAGCTCTGTACGACTGCATCCACTAAATATATAACCCTGTATATAATTTAGAAGTCAAACTTTTATAGATTGTTTTAATTTAATTTTACTTTGAGTTTATTAAATTTAATATACATTTTATTTTAAATGTTATTGATATAATTTAGAATTATTTTATATTTTTCTTTAACTAACCATTAATTATTTTAACTTAATTTAATTTATTTTGCTTTTTCGCGTTATACTGCTTTACATAATTTAAGGTTAATTTTATTTATTTATTTTTTTTTATATTTATTTTTATTTAATTTCGTTTTTTTTATTTAATTTACTTAAATTAATTTAACTTTATTTTATTTATTTTATTTTACATTGGTTTTACTTTTATTTCATATTATTTTAATTAATTTTAATATTTTTTACTTTATTTTCCTTCATTTTATTTTATTTAATTTTGTTAAAATAAATATAAATATAAATAAAATAAATTGATACATTTTATGGCATTTTATTTTTTTATTTAAATTTATTTTATTTTATTTTATTTTAATTTTTAATTTCATTTTAATTTATTTTATTTTATTTTATTTCAGTTTGTTGTGTTATATTTTATTGTATTTCGTATTATGTTATTTTATTTATATTTCTTTACTTTATTTTTAGTCCCTTTAATTTATATCCTTTTTTTATTGAATTTAATTTATTTTTTATAATTTTTATTTCATATTAGTATTTCATTTTTTCTTATTTATATTTTTACTCACTTATTTAATTTTATTTAATATTTTTTCCTTTTTTTTTTGTTTAATTTTTTTTTATTTTAAATTCCTTTATATCATTACCTCTCTTTATTGAACTTTGTTTAATTTTATTAAACTTTATTTCATACTATTTTTTTATTTTTCTTATTTACATTTTTACTCACTTATTTAATTTTACTTAAATTTTTTCATTTTATATAGTTTAATTTTTGTTTAATTTTTAATTTTTTTTAAAGTTCCTTTATTTCATTACCTTTCTTTTTTGAATTTTGTTTAATTTTATTAAATTTTATTTCATATTATTTTTACATTTTTCTTATTTATTTTTTTATTCGCTTAATTAATTTTCATTTTATTTCTTTTATTTTTTTGGTTTATTTATTTATTTTATTTTAGTAGTTTAATTTTATTAAATTTAGTTTTATTTGATTTTATTTTAGCTTATTGGGTTTAAAATAAACTAATTTTATTTCATTTGATTTTTAATTTTTTATTTTATAGAATTTTACTTTAATTTATTTTCTGTATTATTTTATTTCATTTAATTTGATTTAATTATTTTATTTTAAAATATATTGATGTAAATTCTTTTATTTCGTTGTGTTATATTTCCTTTAACTATTTTTTTTATTCGTATTTACTTTATTGAATT